TGTCAATAGAGGGCGAACTGGATGTAGTACGAGCTTCTGCCGCTAGGGGGTGCGGCCTACATTCATAGTGAATCAGTGTGCGAGCCGGCATCATCGAATTAGCATTTGTTTCTTAGTTACGGGCGTTTTGGTAAATTGAAAATTCAGCTAAAGGGAAGGAGATTTGAGACGATAGAAGAGATTCAGGCAGAATCGCAGATGGTGCTTGACAGGCTGACAAAGAAAGATTTCCAGGGATGCTTCCAGGCTTGGCAGCGGCGCTGGGATCGTTGTGTTCACTCCCAGGGGAACTACTTCGAGGGTGATGGATTAATTTAATACCTGAGATAAGTGTACGGGTTTTTATACGCGCAGTCTGGAAACCTTCCGATAGCACCTCGTACTCTTCAATAACGGACTGCAATTGTTAGGTGTTGTTAGTATTTGGGATAGAATAATAAAAGTGTACGGTGGCTGGAAGAAAGTTGTCACTACTCCAGAGTCACTAAGTATTTGTATTTCAGAAATGTCGTCCGTACTCAACAACAACAACACGAGATTACATAAGTAGGATTCGAGTTTTCCACGACGGTGAGTCCGAAGATGGCCATCTTTTGGGTTCCTGCGCCGTGTAGTCTAGTAGAAGTTACTGACGTCTCAGAGGTCCTTTTTGCGTCCATCATCAGGGCGATCATCGCCCTTATGATCGAGGCAGCAATGACTCATGAAACGTCTACCAGAGTACACGGCGCAGGAACCCAGAAGACAGCCATCTTAAACTTATGATTACATCTTAGACGTCAACGTTACTAATTCGGGTATTTAAAATTTCTAGTCCCCATGTAGTTCCTATCTCACAGGGCCTTACGGACGCCATGTTGGTTTTTTTCGAAGAAAGGGATTTATAATTCTCAAGATGGGAAATTCTGGTAGCACGATTTTTCCCACCGACATTCACGAGCATCGACCAACTATTGGCTATAATTTCGATATTCTAAGTTGAATTTCGACACAATGGAGTAGTCTTACTTGAGAAGCTGAAAGTCGCTCAGTTGATCATAAAAATTCCCCGACTTTTATGAAATTCGAAGGTTAATTATCATTTCACACAAGCCAGTTAAGTCCTCTCCAGGCAAACGGGTTCCGAAGTAGGATATTTTATTTCGGAATCCTAAAAAAAAAGAGATCCACAGCTGGCCCATATTTTGTCCTCTGCGTTACGTGGGGACACGTGCAATGTTAGTGTGCAATGTTTGTGTTATGACGTAGGGAAGGAGAAGCTAGGAGTTCTCGCCGGGGAGCCGGTCCGACTGGTCCTCGAGTCTGACGGAACGCAAGTCGAGGACGGCGACTACTTCCGTACTCTGCCCAACAACACGGTCCTGCTTCTGCTGAGACAGGGAGAACGCTGGTACCCCAGCGGCGTCGACGTCATTCGAGCTGGTAAGCGTCGCTTCGACAACGCATGACACCTCTATGATACTTTGTAATGCTCCGTGCAATCGCGCTCTGGCGATGAAATGAGATCGGAAATGCTCTGGCAAAATATCTAGACAACTAAACAGTCTCGTGGTGAAATGATACTTGAGAATTTCCTTTACATAATTCTACTATCGTTGGTGTAATCTACAACCCTAATAAAATATTCACGGTCTAGGTCTAAAATTATTTCAATTAAAAGAAATATATATATTTAATGACGTTATATCTCAATGTACTCGAATGAAGGACACAAAAAATCGAAATTGTTTTTGTTGAGTCATGGAATCAGAAAGATAAAAGATCAGAGAGCATATCTACCTCCATTCGTTCGGATTTTGTACGTTAATTTACAAAGATCATGGCTCCGAACGTAAAATAAAATGTTAAAACATATCTGATAGACCATTGAATTCCATTCAGCATTTATTGTCCAATGAACATTATTCCTGTTAATTGAATAAAAATTTCCTTGGATATTATCCATCGTCTAGTAAATATAAAACGTAAAACGACGTTTCGGAGATGGGACTCTATCTCCGTCTTCAGGTTCCTACACAGTTGGGCCCACTAGATAGAGCTAATCCCTATCGTCCGGACCTTTCTTGGATATTATCTATCGACTAGTAAATATAAAACGTAAAAACGACGTTTCGGAGATGGGACTCTATCTCCGTCTTCAGGTTCCTACATAGTTGGGCCCACTAGATAGAGCTAATCCCTATCGTCCGGAGATACGTTTTATATTTATATTATATTTTTATTTTTATATTTACTGGACGATGGATAATATCCAAGTAAATTTTTATTCAATTGACTCTTCACCATCGTCAAGAAGTTTTAGATTTGATTATTCCTGTTATTTTATTTTAGATATAATTTTGTAGAATTAATTTCCAAATTTTCTATTTTTCATAAGTAAATCCTAAATCATATAATTAATTAAAAAAACTAGCTTTGCAATTGTTCAAAGGTTACTCGGAAATTATATTTAATTTTGACACGATAGATAAGACCTCATTACTCGATAACATTTCCTCATAATTTTATGAATTAAAGATTTCTCGCCCATCTTTAATAAATCATTGACCCAATTTCAGTATTTTACGCCACGTTCCAGATTATCAGCAGGTTCTGTCGAAATCTGCCTGTCTCTCACATACATAAGGCATTACATACTATTAAATACTGCGTTCAGATAACAGGAACCTGGTTCTCCCACACCAATATTCTTGCCTGCTAATAATGATGATTACAGAGTAGTTTTTTTAAGATAAATTACGTGGCCTCCGTACACATAAGTACACAATGGCTTTAGAATTCGGCAGTCGTTGAATCGAAACATCGCACAATTTATGAATTTTAATTTAATTCGAGGAGACTTTCGTCCTAAACGTAATAATAATAATAATAATAATAATAATAACAACCAAGTATTTAATTAAAGTGAACATATGAAGTTGGCTTTATTTTGAGAGAGTCCTTAATAATTATCGCCGAATAAACTGCCTACGCATTTGACTATCGTCGATATAATCGATTATCCAATTCACGTAGACATTTATTAACCCTTTAAAGCTCAATGGTAATTTCAATGTTCCGTGTACTTCGATAATCAAAATATCTTCTTTATATATATGCTTCGTGTGATTGTCATTGTAAATAACAATTAATTCCTTAGAGAACATTAACCACCTCATCTTTGTAATGGTAAAGTGTAGTGTTTACTTTGACGTACGGACTGATTTTTAAATATTATTTACACGAGATTCGAAGGGTTAATCTTCTAATATTTATTCCTGTGTCTGATGTTTGTGTTGTTTGTTGTTTAAAGGAAATATACAACTCCCTAGCAGCGAGGTTTAATTTTCCTCTTTTAAGAGAAAGTTACATGTTTACTTTCTTTTTTTAAGTCTTGGAGAGTATTTTAACGAAATCTACATCACGTAAACGCACATTTTGGATATTATATTCTACCTCGGCTCAACCCCTACCCCCGCGTTCGTAACGTTTAATCCTCATTTATCGTCGCCCGTGTGGTGTGTTCTGCCCTTCATTTAAATTAAAATTACAGAAAGTATTTCTTTGTAAATAATTCGGTATTAGATTTCAAGGTAACGATAAACTGAGTGTTTCGACACTAAACATCCATTAACAGATAAGATGACAGCATCTCCGCGTCATTTAGGGCCAAATGAAATTTGCGTACAGACGCAAACGAACAGCTGACAGACCGACGTCTCGAAGGGTCCACACTGTGTAGCTAGTTCCTACTCGTAGTTCACCGGCCCCGGAGGTTTGACTCCAGTTGTTGTCTGTTCATTGTCGCGCTGTAGCCATCTCCGCGATCCCCAAGATCGTCTGTGAGACGATCCACGCTCTTGAATTGCACGATGAAACTCCTTCCTGGAAGATTATGGACAACAAGGGCAGGGTCACCGTGGTCCTCCACTGGGACCAGAAACAGCAGCAGAAGGTGGGCGATGGAGGAGGGGCTGTTGGGGCGGCATCGAAGTACTCGCCAAGCAAGAAGCAGGACCAGATGCGACCCTCGTTGGTGATCCAGACGAGCCTCGAGAAGCTCGGCGGAATCCACGGGCCGGGCCCCGCGGCAAGCAAGAAGGAGACGCTCATCAACGACGTCTACACGCCTCCACCGGCGGCTCGCTACAACTCCAGTCCTCAAATCACTGTGATAAACCACGATGACGTCATCAGCGGTAAAATGGCAAATCTTCTCGCGGCAGCGACAAGTTCCTATGGTGGAGGCGGGCCCCAGGTTCCTCCACATCACCACCCGCCTCCCAGGCTCGCCAAGCAAGGCACGAGCTCGTTCGAGAGTACAACAATACACATTCACACGCCCGAATGTGCGAACCACGTTCACCACCCGCTCAGTACCAGTCCCAGCGGGGCCGCGGGCATCAATGGTACCGACGCCAACAACATGGTCGAATGCGACTTCCACTGTTGCGCGCTGCACGAAGAGGGCCGGAAGATCGCGGTTCACAAGTCGGTGGCCACGTCTCCCATTCAAGACGCCCAACAACAGACGTCGCCCCAACCGTCGTCGCTGTCAGACGGAACGCGGCGAGCGGCTCTGGGCAAAAGCACCCAGCACGTCCGGTTCCTCGACATAGAAGGCGGTCGCCTGCACCAGCAGCACCAGGCCGAGAGCTCCGAGTCGGAGACGGAGAACACCATCATGGAGGAAGAAGCCATCACTTCCGAGAAGTTCCTGCTGCTCATAGACCAGCTGTCGGTCGACCAGAAGAGACACCTCACCATCAAAGACATCGGAATCATCCTCGAGCGCCTTAGTTCGAAGATAGTCGACGTGGAGAGGCTGGACCGGGAGAGTGAAAGTGACGACTGCTACAACTGGACGATCAAGGCGACCATCAGAGGCGACGTCCTCCGGGAACTGGGAGTCATTTACAATGGAAACTACTACGCCATATCGGAACATCCGGGGTACAAGGAGGAATCCGAGGAGAACAGGGAGGACGGCGACGAAGACGACGACGAGGAGGAGGATGACAGACTTTAAAGAAGACAGGAGGTTAGGAGCGAAATCAGAATAATTTATACTTAGAAAAGATTTAAATAATTCGCAATTTTTTTTATAGGAACTGATACAGAGAAAAATATTTCAGGCGGTGCGGATAAAATGATAACAAATGCATTCGACAATGAGAGACGAGCTACCATAATGGACGGAGAAACTCCGACGGAATGCGACAAGTAAGACAGAACGCATGTATAATTAGGAGCACAAAGTTTACTCGTCGAATAATTAGCTAATTAAACGGACTTTAAGAGACTATAATAGCAACCGACTATCAACCTTCAGAGGAAGTGTGAATACATTTTCCTTAAAAAAAGAAAATAACTTAAATAAAAACAGACTCCCGTTTTCATTTTGTTTTCGTAAAATGCAAGATGGCGTCAATCGTAACGTCGATGGTGCTGCTCCCAAGTACTTTTTTACTTACAAACAGAGCAATAGCTTTACCCACAGTCCCGAGCTCCAGTCCCTGCTTCCCTTGACAATCTGAAGCCAACCACAGTTTCGTTTTCAATCCAATGTTGAACATAGGATCGGGCGACCGAGGGGGTTCTATAGTAAAACAATCAATAACATTAATAAGTAATTATAATTATTACCAACCCCTGATAGATTTGATCGAGCCAACAGCACAAAATGTGAACATGGACGTTTTTTTTTTTTTTTTGGATGTGTGTAAAACATGAAAAACAAATCTGATGGCACATATCTGATGTGAAAATGTGTTTGCATCGTTTCTGTGCATCTTTTTGTAGTGAAAATATCTCAAGTGAAATTTAAAAAAAAAAAACTGGTGAAT